TAAAGACTGGCTCTGCTGTTAGAGGTCCCATAGACTGTCTTGGCCTCCTAGCTGGCACCCACATTCAGAGGGCTTGGTTTGGCCCAGGGCTGTTTCCCCAGCTTTATGACTAGGGTCTCCATGCTCTCACTAGGTCAGGTACACTGTTTCTGCAGGTCTCTCCAGCACCGTATTGGCTCCTTTGCTCAAGTCTCCTCCCTCTCCACAACTGAATTCCAGTAGTATGGTTCAGTGCTTAGCTGTGGGTGTCTGTTTCTGCTTCAAACAGCAATTGGGTATTCTTTTGAGTTTATGTGGAAACAAAGTTTGTGAATTTTGTTTGTTTCAGGTAAAGATAATGTTAGAAACCCAAAGCTGGGTTTAGAATATACAAATAATTGACAGAAGGAGTGGGGGATCAGAGCACTGTGGTTTAACTGTAGTGTAACAAGGGAAGGGGACACGGAAGGCACAGAGGGAAAAGACAGAAAAACCAAAAGGGGTCCTAGGATTACCTTGAGAGTAGAGGGGAACTATTTATCTTAGTTTCGTTTCTCATTGTTGCAATGAGGTACCCTGACAAAAGCAACTTAAGGGGAAAAGAGTCTATACAGGTTCATAGTTCATCAAAGGCAGCCGGGACTTGAAAGCAGCTAGTCCACAGGCAAGAAGACTCCAATGGCTGCTTGCTGCTGCTCAGTTCCCTTTCTCCATCTATAGGGCCCAGGATTCCCTGCCCAAGGAATGGTATCATTGGCAGTTAAGTTGGGTCTTCTCATATCAGTTAATCAAGTTAATCCCCACATTCGTGCCAGAGGAGGCACTTCTCCAGGTGATTCTAGGTTCTGTCAAGTTGACAGCACTATCACAGTCTCCAAGTTGGGGTTCACATTTCCACTCCAGTGGCTGTAAGGAAAGGGGCCAGTTGTATCAAGAAACATAGCAGGGGCCTGATGAAAGCAAGATTCCAATAATCTGAAGGGATCAGAGGAGGCCTGGAAGCTAGCATGAGGCCTGCTGTGTTGGAAAAGGCTGGTGAAAGCAATGAAGACAGCTCTGTCTCTGTGTGATCATGCTCCCTGGATATGGGTTTATCCATTGCCCCTAGAGTCATCCTGAGAAAGAGAGGCAGGAAGTAGAGCTTGTGGCCTAGGAAATTTTGCCAAGGGAAATAAAACAGTGATGGGAGCCTCACAAAGCAACATTGATGTGCTCTGTCTGAAATGGCTATCTCACTTTCAGGCTGGTCTTGAGTTTCTCCTGTGGAGCCATTTGGTGGGAAGGGTTTGCAGTGGTGTGACTGGGGGGGGGGGCTCCTGCTCAACCAGCCACCAAACTAGAGACAGGAAGGGAAACTGCCTGTTTAACCCCATGGACCTCCTCACCTTGACTTTGCCCCCAACAAATTCCCCGAACTAAAAGCTGACCCAGCACCTTAAGAGAATTAGATAGGGCTCAGGCAACACAAACTGCCAATTTTGGTAATGTGGCCAGGTGGCTGTAGGACAGACTATTGGGCTGCTTCCTAAATGTTGGGGTCAGTAGGACATCTTCTTGGAGACACCATCTTCACCTGGTCCCTGTGAAGTCAATCTAGGCATGATGGCACATACTTATAATCACAGCACTCCGGAGGCAGAGGCAGGGTGATGAGGGCAAGTGTAGCCTGGATAACCAAATGAATCCTTCACTCACAAAAGCAACACCCAGGAGTACAGAGTGCATCTCAGTGGTAGAGTGTTTGCCTAGAATATAGAAGGCCATAGATTCTGTCCCCAGCACCACAGAAGAAATAATAATCACAACCAAATAACATCTAGCCCATCACTCCACAAGCACTGATGCTCACCCCTGGCTATACATCTGAAAAACCACCTAAGGATACCTAGGCAATGCTTCTACCTAGGCCCTCCTCCCAAAAAGTTGAACGTTCTGGAGTTCAGATTGTGGAGTTTCAAAAGCTACCAGTTTATTTCAGTATGGATCCAGAGTTGAAAAGTACTGCTCAGTGCATCTAAGAAGTGCTGATGAGCTGGGTGCAGCCTGTAAAACACCACGTTGGGAGGGATAGGAGAAGTTCTGCCTTTCTGGATGCTGCTATTCATGTTCATTGCTACTGCCGTCATTCCTTCTCTCTACCTCAGGCCAGTTTCCACTGTACTTTAAACAGAAACCAGGATGCACCCAAGTGTCTTTATTTTGGCTACAGGGCAGCAGTTTGATAGACATGCAAGTTTTCGACACTCGTTGTTTAACACAGAGACAGCCGTGAACCCCAAGTCCACCCTGAGGCGGAGGCGGACCATTATTGGATTCTCTAACTTTTCTCAGCGAGACCCAGGTGACCCCAATACAGTTGATTCCCTCAAACCCTTTGCATCTTCCACTCTTCCTGCCATGCAGTGCCATTGTGGCAGTAGTTAACTAGAATAATTCTGGGTAGAGGGACTTTGAGTATCTATCCTAAAAAAGACAATGTGGTGATTAATATTAAACCAAGGGTTCTTGGCAAGACCAGCAATTGAGTATGGAGAGAAGGTATCTTAGGCTAATAAATTCACTACATTCTTGTTTTCTAATACAATTGTAATGTAGTTTAGATATGAAGTACACACCTTTAATCCCAGCACTCAGTAGCAGAGGCAGGAAGATTGTCTCCAGTGCTTGGTCTCCATGAGTTCTAGGCCAGCAAAAGACTAACTACATAATGAGGTCTTGTCTAAAAAAAAGTAATGTTACCATATATGCCAAATTTATGCAAATAGATAAAAGTGGGGAATCACCCCCAAATAGTTGTGTTGTACTGACCCAACTGTAGTAACTAAAGATATTTGTGTAGTTGCCTGCCATGTGTCTGGGATATAGTCAATACTCAACAAATGCTGGTATTATGAATTATCATGTCAGCAAAGTAGTGATAATAGTAATGTTATAATGGTTATAGCTGTGGATGTGAGAAAACTTCTGGAGTTTGGAACATCTGAATGATGTTGTCACATCTGTGAATTATCCTAAGTCTTTTATGTTCAAAGGCAAAAGGTGGCACATACCAGAAATACAGCATTCTGGCCAAGTCCATATTCATTGCTGGGGCTGTGAGTCACATGGTGCTGTGCTCTTTAGTCAGTTTAGAAACTTCTGCTCTTGCCTCAGGACTGATGAACCCTGAGGTCTTCTGGTTTCATGAACCTAGAGAGAAAGTATGGGGAAACCCGAGGTAGTCCCATGTGATGCTTGTACTCTGAAGAGAGCCATCAAAGCTGCAAAGTCTTTGGCAGCCATCTGGCCAATTGAAGGGCACCCTGTGACTCACTGTGTGGTGATGGGCAAGATCCCAACTTCCCCCAGCATCCTCATCTGTGAAAAGGAAGAACCAAGGAATTCTCACAAAGCTGTTGGCAAATGCTGCTTGGCACAAAGTTAATGTTCTTGTCATAAAACAGCTGATGGGGGATCCCTTGCTATACCAGTAACATGTGTCTTCCTTCTCCAGGTCACAGCAACAGCCCAGCAGGCAGCCTGGCCTGCTCTGCCACCTCAGACATCAGGCCTGGCCACTCAGCTCCACAAGTTGTTCAGGGAAGAGTTGCTATTGGACAAGAAGCTCGGTTCCCAAGTCTCACCTCTCCAGGACTGAGACACTCTTCTAGTAAGCCTACAGACCCTCACCAGGCACGTAGTGGCCCAGACCCTCCTGGCATGGAGAGCATGGCAATGATGTACAATATCCCCAGTTCTTGCAATGGACCAACAGAGTCAACGTTCTCTGCTTCCTGGAAGGGAGATGCTTTCACGTACATGACTCCAAGTGCTAGCAGCCAGGGCAATCAAGCCAGTGAAGATGGAAAAAACCCTTCCTCTGGGAATTCTTGGGTCTCTCTGAACACACTCCCACCTCTGGTCTCTAAGGAGGCGGCTACTCTCTTTGTCACCCGGGAAAACCCAGCAGGATACACTGGGCTACCCAGCTACTCTGAGCACCCCACTCAACGAAGGCAAATACCAGAAAGACCTCCCAAGATTGGCCTTCTGGCTCATGGTACCCCAAGACTGGAAACAGGCCCAGGCGGGAACAACAGATTCCGGGAGCGGTCACTGTCTGTGCCCACAGACTCAGGTGTCACCTCAGTGGACTATGATGAAGAACAGAAGGCTAGGGAGGCCTGCATCCTGCCTTATGCAAGTACAAGCTCTGAAGGCAGTAACAGTACTGACAACATTGCAGCGCTCAGCACTGAGCAGGAGGTGCGTCACAGAAGGCAAAGATCGAAAAGTATTTCACTCAAGAAGGCCAAAAAGAAGCCCTCTCCACCCATGCGAAGTGTCTCACTACTCAAAGATGAACCAGTCCTCCCACCAGAAGGTAAATTGGTACTGCCCAAGGACCAAAGGCCCAGGAGCCTTTGCCTCTCCTTGGAACACCAAGGGCACCATTCATCTCACCCAGATGTTCAAGGTCACCCACCTGTGCCAATTCTCAAAGATCCAGAAGGTACACAGTTCTCTCACCACTGGTATCTTACTGACTGGAAGTCTGGTGACACCTACCAATCCCTGTCCAGCTCCAGCACTGCCACCGGCACCACAGTCATTGAGTGCACTCAAGTTCAGGGAAGCTCAGAGTCTCTGGCCTCCCCTTCCACCTCCAGAGCGACAACACCCTCCCAGCTCTCTATTGAGGTGGAAGCCAGGGAAGTAACCTCCCCTGGAAGGCCCACTGGACTGATGTCTCCTTCCAGTGGCTCCCCCAGCCAGTCAGAGACACCCACACCCACTGTCTCCATGTCCTTGACCCTGGGCCACTTACCCCCTCCAAGCACCAGTGTCCGAGTACGTCCAGTGGTACCAGAAAGGAAGTCATCACTGCCCCCAACATCACCAATGGAGAAAATCTGCAAGTCACGGTTATCGTTTGACCTACCACTGAGCTCTTCAACCACCCTGGATCTGTCAGGGATGAGTATCTCCATCCGCAGCAAAACCAAGGTTAGCCGACATCACTCTGATACCAATTTTGGGGCCAAACTGGCACAGAAAACTAGTCCAACCCAGCCAATAATGCCCATGGTTACTCAGTCTGACCTTCGTTCTGTTCGCCTGAGGTCAGTTAGCAAGTCTGAGCCAGAAGATGACATTGAGAGCCCGGATTACACTGAAGAACCTGGAGCAGAAGAAGTCTTCACCTTGCCAGAGAGAAAAGTGAAGCCTCCCATAGCTGAGAAACCTCCACTGGCCCGAAGGCCTCCAAGTTTGGTTCACAGGCCGCCCTCTCTCCCTGAAGAGTATCCACTAACTTCTCCTACTAAGGCTATGACACCCAGGAGCTCCGTTCCACACATGAAGCAGCTCCCCCAAGACAGCTATACAGTGTTGCGGAAACCAAAGTCACCCAGCTTCCCCAGTGGCAGGAGCCCTGGGGAGTCAACAGTGCCTTCCACCCTCATCTTCACACCTCTTGCCAGTTCCTCTGGTGCTTTCTTCTCAGGAACACAGCAACCTCCCCAGGCCAGTGTAGAAGATGGGGGCCCCAAGGTGAGAGCCCTACCTGAAAGAATCAGCCTTCAGAGCCAGGAAGAAGCTGAGAAAAAGATCAGCAAGATTCCACCTCCAGTACCAAAAAAGCCCAGTGTGCTCTACCTGCCTCTCACCTCCCCTGTAGCTCAAATGGATGCCTGCATGGCAGAACCACGGCTGCCTTTCAGCCCCATCATCACCCTGGAGAAAGATGCCAAGTGTCCCTCCACTGGCGATGACCTGAAGTCACCTAGTAAAGGGGTGACTTCGGCTCTTCATGTTGACAGTGAAAAGGAGGCCATCTCTCCAGGTTAGTAAACTGTCTTTTGGCTTTTCCCTTCAGTTGCAAGAGGGAGGGATGCAAGTGAGACTGGAGTTCAGAGAGAGAGCTCCAGTATGACCAAATCTGTAGGAAACACAACTAGAGAGCTTGGGTTAACTCTGAAAAGGAACTGTGGCTTGGCCTTACTGTTCAGGAGATCAGGATTGACCCAGGACAGAGCTCCAAGGCTAAGCCTGGACAATCTACCGTTGGCACAAACAATATGATAACAAAATCAAACAAAGCCTTAGCACACTGGGACCTCCTGACCTCATATGCCAAGCCAGGCATGAAGCCCTTGCCCTGGGAGTCCCGATCACCAGACAATAGTTTTCATTAGCCACACTAAATTTAGATTGATGTGCGGACTCAGTACTCTATAAGACCAAGTTCAAATGTCCTGGAAGGCTCATGGGATTCTGAAATGGTGTGCTGTGTCACCATTTCTACCCTTTTCCAGTGTCTTCCGGAAGAAAGGGCACAGTCTTCCTTGGATGGTTTGATTCTAACTCTCCCTGAACTTGTAAGACTAGGCTAGTTAATGATTTTCCTTTTTGGTTGATGTTGTTTCTGTGGCTTTTTGTTTTAATTGTAAGATACACACAGCACTTACAGTTTAGCCACTTCCGTATGTGTGTGTGGCAGAGGGGCACAGGTTGTGCTGAATGTCTTCCGTTATTACTCTTTGTCTTTTGAGACAGAGTCTCTTACAGGACCCAGAGCTTATTTATTGGCTGGACTGGCTGGCCAGCAAGCCCTGGGCATCCACCTGTCTCCATGCCCCCAGATCTGGATTACTATGGTTATAGGCATGTACAACAGTATCCAGCTTTTACATGAGTACCAGGGATCTGAACTCAGGCCTTCGGGCTTATATGGAAGGTGCTTTGCCAACTGAGCCACTTTCCCGGCACCAACTCCTTTATTGAGACACAGTTTCACTGTTACCTAGACTAGCCTGAAAGTCATAATTCTCCTACCTCAGCTCCCCGCCCCCTTGGAACTGTAGATATGTGCCACCACCATCCCTGGCTTAATTTTTACCATCTTTAGCCATGCAGTTCATTAGTGTTTAAGAACATTTATGTTGAGTAACTCATCTTCAGAATGCCTTTTATCTTAGGAAAATGAAGGTCTATACCCTTGAAATAACTCTCCCTTCCCTCTCCCCTTTCTTTTCCCCCTTTCCTCCTCCCCCACTGAGCACAGTTCTTTTCAGGTCTATGCATCTGACTGCTTTGGATGCTGAGTGGAGTCATAGATTTGGTGTCTTTTTTATGACTTGCTTGTTTTTATTAATGTCCTCAAGGCTCAACTGTGTTTCTTGTCACTTGCGAACCCTAAATAGTTAAACACCAAAATCTCATGACCTTCTTTAAGCTGATCTAGACTTTCAGCATAAGTTAGTCACCATGACGAAAGCCAGTGAGCATGTCAAGCCACAGGTTATTTTCAATATGCTCCCTCGGTCTACAGGCTATCTCACATTCAAGCAGGTCTCACCCTGTCCTCCCCCACTGGGTGAGGATAATTGCTTTACCCTTCTCTCAGTATCTTGAGTTTTTAATTATGTATTTATAACAAGAGGGCTGGGGATATAACTCAGTTTCAGAGAGCTTATCTAGTGTGTGCAAGGCACTGAGTTCCATCCCCAGCACTAATTTTTTTTTTAATAAATAAGAAAATGAGCATGCTCACATCACCTGTTTTAATGAAAAGCGTGCATGAGAACAGGGGTCTGGGCCAGTCTTCACCATGTGGGCATTGAAAAGGCCTGGGGGTAAATCATTAACCTTCTGAACTTCATGTTCCTCCTAACAAAACGGAGACATCAAAAGTCTCCGCCCTGCTGTCCATCCAGAGCTGTTTTGAACATTAAGGGAAATAACAAGATTGCATATGTTCTGTCCTAGTTATCATGGTCAAAGTCATTCCTTTTGGTTCTTATGCCTAGGGAGGTCTGTAGAACCAAGCACCGAAGAAAAAAGTCTAATCAGTGATAAAACAGCCGAATGGATCTCGGAGGAGGATGATGACGTGTTTGTGGCTTCTCGAACAACAGAAGATTTATTTACTGTGATACACAGGTCAGGATAATTTTCCTTCATTGTAATTGTAATTGCTTTCCCCTTTTCTACTTGAAGAAAAACTGCTGCCTCTGAGCAGCCATTGGAATTGCAACTGGAGATTAAGTCCTGGTACCTACATATGTGAGCACAGTCTGGGGCCTCACATCTCAAATTCACTGATATCTTTGGTTGAAGCGGAGGAGGGGAGGACCAGGTGCTGAGAGAGGCCCCTCGTCTCCTAGCAACTGCTTGGCCTATTGTGTCTCCATCTGCTCCCTCACAGCTCTATCTGCAGTCAGAGACATTTAACCCTTCACAGAATTTCTTGTACCACAGAATTCTATCACAAGGTGATATGGAACACTGGGCAGCATATGAAATCAGGGACTTAGGCAAAGGGGGAACAGAAGTGTGCCTAGGGGCATGAGGCAGGGGCTTGGTAATGAGGTACCTGGATCTACAAGCCCAGTTACTGGAGCTGGAACACCAGTTCAAACCAGTTCCCACCCCTGGCTGTCTTTATAGTCACTGAGCTACTGAACTTGATTCTTTAAATTTGTTCTTGAACTCAGAACTGATAAGGACTGAACCTATAGCATAGGGCAAGTGACTCCAGTTGTGGGCATTGAGAAGCATGTGGGGGAACAGAGGGCCCTAAAAGGGACCTGGGAGCTAAGAGGTGAGTGAGGAACAGCCCATCAGCCCAAGGCTGTCATAATGCATGATCTTGAGCACATCCCTGGCTGGCAGTTCTTCAAAGCTTTGCTAGCTGTCTGCTCCCTGATTCCCTGAATTCACTCAGACCAGTCTTTTTCTCATTTAGGTCCAAAAGAAAGCTACTGGGCTGGAAAGAGACTGGGGAGGGCTTCACAGGCAGCAGAGCCAGGACACATTCACCAGTGAAGAATACAGCTGATTCTCCCACCAGTGAGTCTGCTGCTGCCACAGGGCCAAGTGGCAGTGCCTGCCTAGATGCTGGCAGAAATGATGATTTCAAGGCCTTGCTCCAGAAGAAGGGAAGTAAGGCAACTCCTAGGACCCGCGCCTCAGCGGCCGAGCTGCTGAAGACCACTAACCCTCTGGCTCGAAGAATCATTACACAGACCAGTACCTAAGCCCTGCTTCTTACTTACTAGACCTAAGTAGAGAAGGGGGAAGATAGAGGGCTTTAGAAAGGAACCAACCACAGGAATGACAAAAGAATCTACATGTCTTTGAAGTTAACTCACACTCCGGACAGCAGAGAGGCCAACACAACACAACTGAGCTCACCAGGCACTTTGATAGGCTTCAGACCATCTGCGTTTCCATGCTTCCGTCCTTGCCATGACTGAACACTGGGGTCCTTCTTATGATCTCCCAGTGCTGTGCACTAAGAAGGGACCCTCAGATTTGAGAGCCGGTGTGCCACCTTTTCAATGTCCTAACTGTTTTGTCCACTGGCTCCTGTCACTGAGAGGCACGGTGGGAGAACAGATTGGGGACTTCCAAACCAGAGCTGGGGACAGAGGGTGCCAATTCCGTTGCTGATATCTGCTCTCCTGGGCTGGCCTTGATGGCCCTATGTGAAGACACAGACAGACACTGAGGCCTCCTCAACCACAGTGTGACTTTCCTCCAGAGAGAGTTCTGCAGGAGACATGCACTAATCTCAGCATGGGGTTGATTGGATGGCTTTTGTGGTGCAAAATATGAACGTGACCCCTCCAAAACTCCATGCCTTTTTCAGTTTGATTGTCTATGCGGAGATCAGGGTGATGAGTTTTAATAAACTTCTAGGACCCCCCCCATTAGTTAGAAAAGATGGGACTGGGTGGCTTTGGCTGAACCAAACTCAGCAAACGAATGGGACATTTGTTCACTCACATCGAGCCAAGGTAACTTGCATGTGCACCTTGAGGTCTTTCGAATGTCTGTCAACATGGGTAGCCAGGATCTGTGCCCAGCTCACGCTGTATACTCTAAGGACTCTCATTTCCCTCGCATGTAACATTCATTACAGGAAGTAATTAGGTGAAGGACTGGCATCGTCAGAGACTCCAGGAGTAGAAAGTAAGTGTGTCCCACACCATTGATTCAGAGTGTGCTTTTTGTGCTTGTTTGGGTTTTGTTTAAAGGAAATCTGACTCTGTAGACTGAAAAAGATATACACAAATTCAAAAAGGCAGCATGCTATGGCCCATAATGCAAGAGGGCTACTTTTTGCCATTTAGGTACTGCTGTTTGGCCAACTTTCAGCTAACCACGGAGGTGGAAGGAGGGAGAAGAGCACCTAAAATAAAGAGAAAACTGAAAGAGTTCCAGAACAATCACAGTTACCCCTTCCCTTCCAAAGCCAACAGGTACTGGCTGATTTTGTCAACCCAACTTTGGAAGCAGAGAAAGAATGCCTGATTTCCATACACCTGGTTTCTGAGGGGCTGGGGACAAGATAAGCAAAGCATTGAACACAGAACCTGCTGGCCAGTGTCGGAAAGTTCATTGTCTTCTGGTCCCAAAGGGCCAAAAGGAAATGAACCTGCAGTATGCTTTGTGTGTGTGTATGGGGGGGTTGTTTCCAGAGACAAGCAGATCTCCAGTTTGATACGTCACACCCATTACCAATGAGAAGCAAATTGTTAGCTCAGCTGCCCACACTCCAGAAGGGCAAAGTGACTGAAAAACTCCATTGAGTACTGAGAAGACTCAGATCTCTGGCATAGAAGCCCTAAGCTGAGATCCTTGCTTGGGTTGGTCTAGTTCTAAATTCTAGACAAATGGAAAGATACTAAGCTCACCAACATTCTTGTAACTAGCTCTTTTCTTTCAGATTTAGAAAGAAGCCACTTGAAAAATAGACAGTTTGGGGAAATCTAGTTACTTTGAAAGTATTTAAACCATTTCACATGAAAATTTTAACCAAATTTCATGAGTTTTGCCTGAATTTAAACAAGAGTCAGGCAGGAATGTGGTATATACCGTTTTAATCACTGCACCCAGGAGCTGGAGACAGGCAGATTTCTGTGAGTTTGAGGCCAGCCTGATCTATGTATCTAGTTCCAGGCTGCCAAGGCTACATAGTGAGACCCTGACTTCAGTCTTGACTGTGGTTTATACATAAGTATCACACATGACCTAACTCAGAATTCCAAAAGACAGAGGCATTTTCCTCTGTGGGGAAATGGGGGAGTGGAGTGTCCTTGCTTCTGTCTATCAGAAGCAAAAGGCTCCCTGGATCTGCTTCTCGGAACCATTGTGAATTGTTGAACTCTGCGGTATGAGCATATGTAACTCTATATAGGTAGGGCTTGCTACTTTTACTGATTATTTTGGAAGTGTCTTGTTTGTTCCTTCTCATGGGTTTTGCCTCTCCCCTCACCTTGCTACCTCCGGAGGATTCCCCAAAAGTTTGTAAACTGTGGTTGTTTCGTGACCCAAATGAACCCTTGCTTTCCTCTCTACAACTCTATATGCTTTAAAGGTCTAGAACATGTCCACATCACTAGGACTCCGGACTAGATATGCTTGGAATGTCTAGAACATGTCCACATCACTAGGACTCCAGAAGCCCATTAGCACAAGAGGATTTGGGGCATCGAGTTTGCAGTCAGAGAAAACACTTAGGACTGGGAGTAGTCATTCTGTATTTCCAGGTTTTGCAGGGAGTGGACCTAGTCCTAAACAACTAGATTGCTAAAAAAATGATGATAATAATAATAATAACTACCAGTCATTGAATAGCACAACACCAAGCATCTTTCTAATACTTAACCTCTCTCCTGTCGTTAATACCATAAACTTCTATTTTCTTCCCTGAGTACAATGTGTGCTGCCCGTGAGGCTGGAGGAAATGGGGGAAACCTCTTTCAGGGAGGTCTCAGAAAGTTGCTACCACTGCTGTGACATACAGCACATGTAAGGAAAGAGAGTAATCTACGGATGGTATACACAGTAAGTTGGAGGGAAATGAAACTGGCCCCAGGTGGTCAGCCTCTGCTTCAAGCTGTTCCTATCCCTTGTTTCCCTCCAACTCTAGCCCTCAGTGACAGGTGGCTCTGTTAGAATAGCTTCGTCAACAGTGGAGAGACCCCCCCCAGAGGCAGTCAATGGCTATCTACATGCTTTGCACCTGGTGCGTATATATTTGTGGTTCAAATGTGAGTGGTGGAGAGCAAGTTAGTCTTAGTACAAAGGCTGACTTTGCTTGTGGCTGCTCCCCTTTGGCTTCACTATTGGCCTGCCTGGGCATCCCTCCTGGCCCCAACTTTTCTTTCAGTCCTAACACCCATGAACTGCACCCATACCAACAGCTCAACGACAAAGGAGTCAAGGCCATGGGCAGTCAGTTCATTCACATTAGCCTCATGACCCCAAAGGTTGATCTGGAAAAAATGACCCTGAATGTACAAAGATGGGCAAGTCTCCAAGGTTCCCCCAACAAGCATTCTGCTTGGCATCTACTTTATCTAGACAACAGAGATCCAGCTGTGGTCTCCGTGGGTCTGTCACTCTGAACAGATCTACCCATGCACCCCCCCCCACCTCTGAATCAGTCAGAAAAAAGACTAGTTATCAGTCAGTGCTCTGTTGCTCACGGCTTCCGCCCTCTATGTTCGCCAAGTCTGTGGTACAATGGTGAGCTTTTCCTTTGATATGATTTGCCAGGGCCAGGACTAGGGTGAGGCGACTGGGGAGACGCCCACTCTCAAGGCCCCTCCAGTGCCTTACCCTTGCCATGGCCCTGTGATTTGCACTCTGTAATGTAGTATCAGTTGTTCTTCCTCTGAGTGTAGTTCTGATTTGGGAGCAGGTTTTGAGCCAAATGTTTCCTTGCTGTTTCTCCATTGGTTGCCAGAAGAGTTTTATGCATTAAAGAATCTTCAGTATTATCACAAACATTTCAGCTGGCAAGTTAGCACCCTGTTCAGGAGGAACACTGTGGCCAGAGAACTTCAACCGGAAGGTGGAGGTCCGCCCTGTGACCTTGTGTTCTTTCTGTTCCTTTCTCCCTTGTAGTCCTTGTGGCCCAGCACCGACTCTTCTCAGTGCCTCCTACTTTGTTCTCCTCCTAAGAAAAAACATGCTCTCAGGAAAGGGACGAATTCATTGACTTGAGATTGGAGGCTTAATGCTACCTTTTTCGAGGGTTGCTTGCATTTTAACAGGGGAACAGCCTTAAGCCAAAGGAATGAAGTTCTTGCAGAATGTTAGGCGTCAACTAATTGTACAAGTTCTTTTCACCATGGAAAAACCAGACTTCCTGACAGCTGACTCCAGAGTACAGAAAATATGGTTTTCTCCTGGAATCATTGTAGTTAGTAGCTGATAGTCAATTATCTAGATAACCCTGTGCTATACTACTACCAAGGGACTCTAAGAAAAAGCTACTTAAAAGCCTCTGAGAAGGCCTAGATCAGGCATTCATATTGTACATTAACATGTTTGTGTAAATGGAATTAATACTACTTACCACTTAGGTAAAAGACACAAAGATTTAAGAAGTTTGTGAAATGTGTCCTGTCTGTGCAAGGTGACTCTGTCGAGTCCATTTCTTACTGATGTCAGTCGTCCAATATCAGTGGTGGTTATTAAATTGGGTGGAGGTGTAGTTACTAAGCACAGACCTCCACTACCCTTCCTGCCATTTGTCTCTGTTGTTTGCTATGACTTCGGCTTGGTGTGAGAATGAGACCTTATCTAAACCAGAGCCCCCAGTCCCTAATGCCTTTGCATGTATTTCAGCTATAAGTGACCAAGATAGTAAGGATTTAAAAGAACAAGCGAGTAGGAAAGAGGTACAAAGCAGTGCCTTTGTCAAAGGTCATCGAACAGTATGATGATTTTAAAATGGCATGATATAAGCCAAATCAAATTACTTTAAAATACTTTGAAACCAATTTATAGAGCACTATGGTTGTGAATGGTTTTTGAACACATGTCGGAGGCACTTTAATAAGTTTAGCAAAAGGAAATTTGCCTAATGAAGATTGTGTGAAATAAATATATACTTTTGTTCAGTACGGGCCCAAATCTAGGCCACTGGTTCTCAAAGTGTGGTCTTGGAACCACAAAGAGCAACATATGAGAGAGAAGGAGGGGGAGGAGAGAGAGAGAGAGAGAGAGAGAG